GGGCCTGACCGACGACGACGACAAGAGTCAGCCGTACGTGAGGGTTCGGATCCTCGATTCTGAGGGCAAGGAAACGCAGGTGCAGGAGACCGAGCCCATCACAGACGCCGGAAGCAGTCCCCAGTGGAACCAGTACCTCAAGTTCGAGGGCATCGAAGATCCAGCCCTCTGCTCGGTGTGCCTGGAGCTCCGCGACAAGAACGACACAAGCGACGAGCCCGCCGACGGTGTTGCGAAGGTCAAGCTCGGTGTACTTGCGGCCACTTCTGGCTTCCAGCAGTTCAGGGACAGCATCTCGTCCGGCTGGTTTTCTAATGTCGACCTCAGGTTCGGCCTGAACAATTTCGGGACGTGGGGCAACGGTGCTCGGACGGAAAATAAGTTTTCGTTGAACATCAAGGGCGCTAGCGGAATGGTAGATGCGGACGGTGGCATCGGAGGCTTGTTCGCGGACAAGAATGACCCGTACGTCTACATCGAGTTGGTCGACGAGGACGATTTCGCAATCGGCGAGCCCCAGCAGACCAAGGTAATCCAGGAAGGCGGCAACAAGGTCGATTGGAATGAAACTTTCGATTTCGGAGACCTCTTGTGCCCCTCGGCCTACAAGCTCAAGCTGTCCGTCTGGGACAAGGACACGCTGACCAGGGACGACGCCCTCGGGAAACTGGAGTTTGCCCTGGGCCGCTGCTTCAAGGTGGCCGAGCCGATGGCGTTCCAGGAGAAGCTGGATGTCGGCGATGCAAAACTGAAGTTTAGCATCTGCTCCAGCGGCGCCTGGGGCGTCCTGACCAAGGAGCAGATGGCGGAGCAGCCCGCGGCGGAGTGGGCGGCTCCGGCCGCTCCCCCAGGGCACTACATGAGGTGCAACATCTTGAGCGCCACCGGGCTCGCCTCGGGGAAAAAGGGCAACGACGGGAAGAAGGACCCTATCTGCAGGCTCACCCTGAGAGACGAGTGGGGGAAGGAGATCAAGACCTTCTCGACCAAGGGAAAGGAGGCCAAGAAGAAGGCCAAGCCGAAAGCCAAGCCGAAAACCAAGGCGAAGGCCAAGGCCGAGAAGGGCCCGAAGCCGGACGTGGAGTGGAACGAGGAGTTCCTGTTCACGGGAGTCACGAACCCGGGCCTGTGCACCCTCTCGGTGAACGTCTTGGACGCGGAGGGCGACCAGAGCAAGCGCCTCGGCGAGACCACCCTGCCCTTGGGGATTCTCGGCGCCAAGGACGGCATGCAGGACTTCGAGGAGGAGATCGCCGGCTTCCTCTACAAGACGAAGGTGAAGTTCCAGATCGACAACTTCGGTTTGTGGGGCAACGGCAAGCCGGAGGAGAACAAGCTGTACGTGATGATCAAGGGCGCAGTTGGCCTCCCGGCCCACGTGGGCTCGTTCATCAGGAGCAAGGAGACCGACCCCTACATCCAGGTCGACCTGAAAGGCCCTGACGGGGCCGTGCTGCAGTCGAAGAGCACGAAGGGCGACCCGAAGGGCTCCGACCCCCAGTGGGACGAGGAGCTCGTCTTCGAGAACATCGATAATCCTGCGGCCTGCACTCTGTACATCGTGTGCTACGACGCCGCAATTGGCAAAGACACGATGCTTGGCCACACCGAGCTGCCGGTCGGCGGGCTGAGCTGCTCCTCGGAGTACACCGCCTTCGACGGCACGACACTGGGCGGCAGCTGCAAGCTGAACTTCTCCATGCACACCGGCGGCACGTGGGGCAACAAGGAGCCAGGGCCAGAGCCCGTGGACGCGGCGGGCGCGCCGGCGTGCTGCTCAGTGCAGTGAGGCGACGCGCCCACCTCGCGGAGATCACGCCAGGCCTGCGCCCTTCGGCGGGCTGGTTTTAAATCGAGCTCGGTTGGACACTTGACAAGAATTCATCCAGAGGGGGCGACGATGCGCGCCCCCGAGCCTTGCTCGGAACGCAGGCTCCTATCTTTGCGCCACGCGTTGGCGCCACCTGTGTGTTCGGCATCTGCTTCATTCGAGCATTTCGGCAGCAGACCGGCACCCCGCTGTGCATGGCTCTCGAGTTAGGCGTGCACCGGGGCCCTCCCTGGGCGCTCCAAGGGGTGCGGCCCGACCACGGGCGATTCCACACCCACGCACGTGGCGTGGGCCAGCTGACCAGCTCCAGCCGCAAAGTTGCCGGCAGCCGCACGAGGGCGTGGAGTCAGGAGCAGACCAGAAGCAGTTGCTTGATGCTCATGGGCGCGCACATCACAGCGTGATCCGTGGCCCCCAGCGCGCGCCAGGACTTCGACAGCCTTGGGTGCTTAGATGCGTATTCATAGACACCACACGTTATACAAATTGATGGTAGTGGGTAAATAAGACTGTGCGACAAAAAACAGTCATGTTCCCAGAGTTGCTTATGGCAGCATGGTTCCAGATACTCCCAGAGCCCCCGCCCAAGATACAAGTGGCCCCGCACACACACATACACACACACACACGCACACGCACACGCACACGCACACGCACACGCACACGCAC